GCTGGCCAGAAAAGGTCTCAGCCAATATTATACAGGCAATCTGGCTCCTGAAGCCTTAGTGGAGATACAGGATTCACAGAGAGAAAAGGTTGGTCTCCTGACAGAAGGCTGATGCCAGAGCCTCTCTGACCTCAAGAATTGTTGCTGGAGACGTCTGCCAACCTCCCAAAACCTTGCTCAAGCCTGACTTTAGGGTCACAATTTTGTCTCCAAAGGGGCAGAGAGATGGCCCAGGTCAAGAACTACTCTCATCAGTGATGTGATAGAGAGATAGTCGAGGTGGTTATTGTGCTAGTTTAACAGAATGGGGAGCTAGAGTCTGACCCAGGGCTTTAAATCCTAGTGCAGCTGCCATCCAGTTTTGTGGGCCTCGACAAAGGCTTGGGCTTGTCTCAGCCCTATGGGTGCTTTTTAATGAACACTCTCAGGAACCTATGGAAGTGCCGAGGTGTGAGGAACACTGACAGGACCATGACTTGTGTTCCCACCAGCTCTTGTGTTCTGAGATCCCAGTGTTAATCCTTAGGAATCGGAAGCACAGTACTGGAGGAGGGAGCTGGCTCTGGACTTCACCCCCTCTTGACTGTGTGGTCTTAAGGAATCCTATGCTTTGTGGCTCGGTTTCCTCAACTATAACTAGACACTGTAGAGGGTGGCTGCGAGAGAGCACAGTGGTGACTACGGAAAGGGAACCTGGCAGCTGTCAGGCCGAGCAGGAGCCATATTCATGTCAGTTCTAATCACTGTGGGTGAGAATACGGAGTTGCAGAAGGACTATGATCATTCCTTAAGGCTGTGCATTTGCATGCCGGTGTCAGCTTTCTGTAACAAGTACCCATGATAAACCAAGGGCTAAAGAAGGACGCTCTATTTTGGTTCACAGTTTGGGAGATTCTGGTCCATGACCAGTTGGCTCTGTGGCTTTTGGGCCCTGTGGTGAAGCAGTACATCATGGCAGGAATATGTAGAGGGTAGAAAACTGCTTCGTTTATGGCTGGCAGGCACAAGAGAGAAGAGAAGACCAGTGTTTTTTATCCCCCTCCAGGCCACACCCCCTAAGGCCTAACTCCACCTTTTAAAGGTTCCAAAAGCACCAGTAGCAAACTGAGTGCTTAGCTATAAACATCAGAGTTGTCCTGACAAAGTTCCTGCAAGAATTCACTTTCTCACAGTTCTGGAGACTGGAATCTGTGTTCAAGTCTGGCAAGGTTTCTCCATGACTTGATCACAACCAGCTTCTGCTTGGCATGCCAGTACTCTCCCCTCTATCCTCTTGACAGTAGTATAATGTACCTGACTGCCCGTCTCATGTTTCTCACCGGATATCATCCAGACACCAGGGACCTGGGAACTAGTGGGGGATTGTTCATTCATTTTCCAGTTTTATTCATTCTTATTAAGGCAACAGCCACAGTACACGTGTGAAGGTCAGAGAACGACTTCCAGGAGTCAGTTCTCTCCTTCTACCTTGAGATGGAGTCTCTCTTGTTTCTGTTCTGGGTCTGTGTATTTCAGACCAGCTGGCCTGTGAGCTTCCAGGCAATTGTCTCTCCATCTTCCTTATTGCTGCAGGCATGTGTGGTAAGCATTTTTTTCTTTTTTACCTGCTTAGCCATCTCACTGGCTTCATTTGCTGGTGTGTTCTAATCTTATGTCCCAATCGCCCCTCACAACTTATGTCCAGATTGTGAGAAGTATTGCTGCTCCCCTTTTTAACATGAAAACCAAGGCAAGGACAAGCTGAGTGACCTGCTTGAAACCACATAGCTGATGGGAACTGAAACTGGAACTCAAGCCTAGGTTTTTAGACTAAGTCTTCCAGGCTCTTCTTATCACCAGCTGAGTGTCCCTGCTATGGCTCCTAGTGCTTCCATGCTGACCTCAGGCTCAACACAGTGCTCTGTGGGCTGAATTCAAGGGGTGTGTCTATTCTGATAAGCATAACGGCCCTGCAATTTGATACTGTATCATTTCATTTCTCTAATCTCAAAGAATGAGAGAGCCCTATGCCTGGGTCCTGAGGAAGGCTCTGGCAACCACTTTCCTGACCACCTTGTTGTCTTGCTCATCTGTTAACTCAGTCTTGCTGAGGGTTTGGCTGAGTCAAGGAAGGTGGCATAGTCCCTGCCATGTCTCCATGTAGAAATGTGCTCTGGCTCACTCTGGGTGAATCTTAGCTTCAGCCAATCCTTCTCCCTACTTGTCCTTCTTTGCTGTGGAAAGTCCTGTCTTCTGCAGCCTCTGAGGCATCAGGAACGCCCATCCCTGGGAGCTGGGAAGCCACAGGACACAAGTGTGTTCCTGAGTATTTTCACTCTGGACACTACTGGATCTTGTTATTTTTAATTTTATTTATTTATTTATTTATTTATTTTTATTTCATGTGCTTTGGTGTTTTTGCCTACATGTATGTCTGTATGAGGGTGTTAGATTCCATGGAACTGGAATTACAGACAGCTGTGAGCTGCCATTTGGGTGCTAGAAATTGAACCTGGGTCCTCTGAAAAAGCAACCAGTGAGCCATTTCCCCAGCCCACCACTGGATCTTCTAACACTCTGATTGCTTTACAGGTAACAACTTGGGACTCCAGGACAGCCACTGAAAGATGAGCAAAGCCCCTGTACTTGGCAGCCCTGACACTGTTGATCCCTGCATCTCCAAGGCTGGCATGGCAGCTGGACTTGGGAACACTGAACATCTGGAAACTTTGCCTGTTACCATGAAGATGTACAATGGCCTGGAGTGCAGGTCTGCTGAGGAAGCCATGTGATTCTTCTTACATGCTGACAGGATTCCCACACCCTTGAGAGGACAGGCCAGCTGAGACTATCATCACCAATGTCCTAAAAACTGGTAGCCTTACCAGTGCAGGGTCATCTGGCCTGCAGCTGCTGGATATCCCCAGAAGTCCCCGGCATCATTCCCTGTGAGCTCTTCTAAGGCCTTCCACAGCCAAAGCCTGCTTCAAGCCTGTCTCACCAAACAAGAAGCTGGATTGCAACCCTACTGCAAGAAGTTTTGGCAGCCAGATGAAAACACTGTCCCTCTAGGTGGACAATTCCCAAGAGAAACATGGGTGTCTGTAGGATGCACTGCAGCAGGACTGTATCCAGGCCCCAAGAGCCTCTCTGTTCAGGAAAGCTTGAAGGCTGTACCCTGCAATGGGGCAGCTCTGGGCACAGGGACCTCTTTACCTCCTATGGCTCAGACACTGGCGAGGACACAGCTGAAGGTCTAATGTCAGTTAAGGGAGCTGGGCATCACTCCCTTCCGTGGAAGGGTCTTTACATCCATCCACAAAGCAAAATGACCTTTGACACATGGCCTCAGAGGTACTTGGGCTCTGTGCAGAAGTATGAGGTTGTCATAAGTTCAACCCCAGGAGTACCCCTTCCCCACACCTCATGCTGCTCCACCAGATTCCATCACAAAGTGAGGGTGCCAGTGTCCAGGTCCAACTTCCCTGGAGAATGCGGCACAGTGAGGTTATGAGGCTCTTTGGCAACCGATAGCAAGTTGCCTTTGTTTTGTCTAAGCTGAGACCTGAGAAGAGGGCTGTGTCTCTCCCCTGAGGCCTGAATGCACCACTCACTACCATCCCTCTTCATCTTCCCGAGCAGTCCTCCCTGGGAGCCTTGGGAAAGGTGGCCTCCCAGATACCAGAGACAAGTGCCTTTGTTGTTTTGGCAGAGCCAGCCTGGGTCAGGCAGAGTGCTGGAAGTGGACACACGGGCTTTGATTCTGAGCTGCTCCTTCCTCCCTAGCCCTCCTCCCAGCCCACCTGTGCAGAAGGTCCCCTCTTCCTGCCTCGGTTCGCTGAGCGGGCACAAAGAGCCTCACTGAACCTAAGGTTAGGGGCATCAGATTATCGGCTGAGCAGGCCTGAGAGGTGGAGCCTCTGGGAGCCACTTTCTCAGGATAATGTCTGTTTGTTCTAGGCACAAATGCAGGTCTATTGGGAAGGACCTGGGGAGATGGCTCAGAATCTAGGGTTGCCCCCTCCCAAAGCCCAAGTGGGATCTCTGCGCACAAAGACTGGGGGGAAAAATCCCTATCTGTGGTGTTGTTAAAATCCTCATCCTGATGCTTATCTAGCTTCATACAGTCACCTTCTGTGTGAGTAAAAAGTAAAATAAACCACAGTGAATCTTTTAAAAATACAAGGTTGATAAATTAGAAATTAAATTGTCTCCTTAGCATAAGAATAAATCCGTCATCCGGAGTTACTTCTGCCCCAGATTTCTCCTCTCTTTCCTTTGTCATCCTAAGTACTTGGTTCCTACCATATGGTGCAAGAGATTAATGGAGGTCCAGCCACCTTACCTGCAACCCATCCAGCAGAAAGGTGGAAGGAAGGAAGGAAGGAAGGAAGGAAGGAAGGAAGGAAGGAAGGAAGGGAAGAAGGAAGGAAGGAAGCCCTTTTTCCTTTCCCTTAAGGGCTTTGACTGAAAATCTGCTTTATTTGTTGTTAATCCGAAGGCCACAAGGAAACCGAAGAATGCGCTGGCTATTCTAGGTGGCCAGGCACCCAGATAAAAGCCAGGGGTTCTATTACTGCACAGAGAGAAGACAGATGAGCAGCATATGCTGACAATGTCAAGTTCAAAATTAAGCATTTACTCCATCCCTGATGAGGCCACCAGGTCTAGAGAAGCCCACGCATCAGCCGAGATCACCCAGCAAGCCTGTGGTTGCCAATTTAGCTTTAGTTTCTCTTGTTTCTCAGCTTTGGTAGAACGGCTTGATTTCAAAGGAAGGGAGCTTGAGGAGCACTTAGCTCAGAGCTACAGGACAGGGGCAGAATGGTGACCGAGTTTGCGTGTCCAGATCTGCCTGGCCCTGAGTCATGGTAGGCGAGGAACTACTCAAGGTCTCTGCTCTGGGCCTGTGGGTGTGCCTCTCGCGCCATGTCCGTGTCCCCCGGCTGTGTGGGTGACTCTGTGTCTCTTGTTCATGCTTACTGCAGAGATGCACTTCTGACCCGGCACTTACATTTCAGGGAGCATGCTGTTGGGCTGAGAGCTGCTGGGAGGCACCATGTCTCCCTCAAGGTTGTGCTGGCCATGGGCTGGCTCCTCCTGGTTGACTTCTCAGCGGCCACTTCTGCAGGTGAGTTTCAGGCAGGCGCTGGGAGAGGGAGATCACGGGGAGTCTCTGGGGTAGGGTCCTGGTTGAACACCTTGGTTGCCAGCCGGCAAGCCTCATCCTGCCCCAAGTTTTCTTAGGAAATGACAGGCTGGCCTAGAATCACCCCAGGTTGCCAGCTCAGCGTCTGCCTGAGCTCCATTGCAAGAGAACCTAGTTGGGAGGGTACTACTGCCTCCGTGAAGCTGAGACTCACCTAAGGGAGAACCTATCTCTCAATGCAGGACAATTGGGAAGGGGAGACAATGTTGTGAGATATTTTGAATTTTTGAAAGAGACCAGAAATTTGGATTTTTATAGAAAATCTTGTTTTTAAATGTTACCTGCCAGTACAAAATTTAAAAACTGCCCAGGAGAGTAAGGGGAGGGGAATGGAATTCAACTGAGATTCAGCTTTCTGTCTCTGTCTGGGTTACTCAGTTTCAGAGTTCAGCATCCCTTCCCACTTTGCATCATTAGATCAGAATCTGGGCCCCCTGGAGGCTTTTCAGTCACAATGCTCTGAGAAAGGATTAGATTGTGTCTTTTTTGTTGTTGTTTTGTTTTACACAGGTACACTCACATACATATGAATACCTCACACAATACACATGCTTCCATACAAACACACACACACACACACACACACACACACACGCACGAAGATCTCACACACACACACACACACACACACACACACACACACACACACCTCACAAGATAGCCCTGGCTGGCTTTAAGCTCATAGATGCGCCTGTCTCTGCCCCTAGAGTTCTGGTATCAAAGGTATGCACCACCATGCCCAGTTGATTGTTTTTGAGACAGTTTCACTCCAGTATGATCCAGGCTAGTTTCAAACTTGCCATCTTCCTGCCTTGAACTCCCGAGTGCTAGGGTTAGAGGCATGTACCACAGCACCCTACTCAGATCTATCTTACTCTCTCAGTATTGTCAACTTTGGTTTTAAATTATTTAATTTTATCTTGTAAGTTTTTCCTTGTGGTGCCAAGCAAGTGATATTTACATGGTTTTAAATTAAGATTAGAAGCCCAGGACACTTCAGCCAGGCTACAGGAAACAGCCATTAAATAACTGGCACCTTTGGGAGGACATAGGAGGCACAGACACAAAGCTTAGAAACTGAACAGAGGTTTAATAATGCTCCCGCTAACATCATGCTCATCTTAAAATGCTATTATTATTCACTGAGTTTTGCTTTTCCATAAAAAAGGACTTCACATTGAATTGCATTGTTTACCAGCCCACTGGAGGAAGGAAGTGTTCTGTAGCATAGGATGCCCCCACTGTGGTTTCTTATAAAATCGTCCTGATTCTTGGGTAACAGAGCAAGCAGGCAATATGTCAATCAATGTTCAGTGCAATGATTAACAACATTGTCCGAGTTCATGCATCGGCTCATTCAACCTGACTCCAGGCTAGAAGTTGAATTTGGGTTTATCTTTTGGGATGATTCAGTTTGGAGAGGAGTATTCAGATACTTCCTGGGTGTTCCCTCCAATATGTCAGTTTACATATAAACCCTTTGGAAGGTTGCTGTACCTCTCTCTAGTGTACTTTAGGCGTGTTCCTTGAGAGAGGTAGAAATCACCTTTGCCGTTCATGCTTCAAATAGCTGAAGCCTGCATTCCCTTACAGTCTGCTTCATGGGACCTCTGCCCTAGTCAGGGAAATCAGTGTGGTTGCCATGGTGATGTTTCAGGGATGGCACTGACGAGTTTCAGCTATTCACTGGTCTACATGTATAAATACCCAGCTTCCACAAAGGAGGGTCCACCAAATCCAGCCCTGGAAGTACTCTGTCTTAGCCACAGTCTTGGAGTTTCTGGAGAGTTGGGTTCATGCTCCTGACAAAGGGCAAGCCTATAGGACCAGGCCCATTAGAGCCAGGCCGAGATGCAAAGTTGCCTGCAAACTCCTATTCCTGGACAGGGAAGGACCATGGGCTCAGCTTGGAAGTGAGGCAGTGAGACCTGAGGCACTGTTCACTTAGCAGGAACCCATCTTCCCCAGGAAGCTCTTGGTCTGCACCACTGGGCACTCCAGATGGCCACATGTGTTTTCCATACTCTGGGAATTGAGACTGACTCCTATGTTCAGGGCTGGTGAAAGGCTACTAGAGATTCCTGACTATCCGGTTTGGAGATAAGCCTAGGTGTGCAATCCATCACCCAGCTCTCAGAGCTTTGAACACCAGCTTGAGCAGGGGGCTGCCCAGCCAATGCACAGGCTGGTAGAGCTCATCTCTCCAGCCAGCAGGGAGGTCTGCATCTGCTCCTCATGTTATTATTTGAACCTCAGGAGCTGGAAGCCCTGAAATCCCACAAATGTGGAGGTCACACCAACAGCGAGGTAGATGGAGCCAAAGGTGGCTGCTGCCTGCACACCTGGGAGAGAGTGTGAGGTATGGGGATCAGCACCCACACAGAAAACGGGTTCAGTGAAAGCCTATATAGTCCCTGTCTGGTGCTTTTGAGTGTAGACAAGGGCAGGTCTCCCTCCAAACTCTCCTTCAGATATCCAGCTACGGCAGTTATGACTTCCTTCATGCACATCTGAAGAACAATCAAATATCCCAAAGATCTGCCTGCTGTGGTACTGAATTGGAACTGGTTCTGGTCCTATGTTATGGATGTGACTCCTGTACCCACTTTACCCGCCAGATGCAGTGATTCTAACTTCCCTGCACTGTGGAACTTGCTTCCAATCAATACCTGCCCTGGTCCCCCACCTGATCCCTTTCCCTTCATGGACTTGCCTAAGCCTGACCTCCACCTCCCCAGACACTCTGTGTTACTTTTAGTTCTCCTGATTTACTCTTCACAACCTAACTACTGAGAAAATGAAAATAGTCTCATGGCAATTTGCCCATGCTTCCTGCTTCTGTTTCTGGATCTCTCCTTGCTTTCCATAGGCTGGTTCGTCCAGCTCCTAGGATAGAGATGTCCCTCTTGCAACTTCCATGGCACAGACCTGGAGCAGATCCCAACAAATCTTGTAAAAATCTAGGATTCTCCTTGTCTGACTAACTACTCTGATTCACTTGATAGCAACATGCATGCTGGCCACATTTGGCTTTAGACTGCCTTGGGGCATGAGGGCAGGAGGTACAGCCTGACCTCAGAGAAATAGCAGGTGGCTCCCTACCCTGGTGAGTCCACACCACCTGCAAAAAGCCTCTTCTTCAGCTCCCGGAGTGACAGCTCAGGACACAAAGAATAAGACTAGCCTAGGCAAGTGTAGAAACTGCCCTGGCTTAGTGGCCTTAGGCTCTGGCAGAGCCAGTATCTCTTATAGTATTGTTACATGTGTCACTTGGTAGATGCCTACAGAGGACATGCCCAGTGATAAGAGTTATTACCCTCAGAGGAGCTTGCAGCACGAATCCCTTTGGGTTCATGTCAGGCAGAAAAGTCCCACATCTTGCAAATGGGGAACTGAATCAGAGAAGGAAGGGAGCTATCTAGAGTCACATGATAAAGTCATGAAAAGAATGAGGCCATACTCCAGGGTACCTGCCTCTGAGATAAGAGCATCTCTCTGGTGACTAAGTATTTCCTTTTAACCTTGGTGGAGAAGAAACGGGTGCCACGAAGTACTCCTCACCCCCCATTATCCTTTGCTGGTGGATCTGAGTGGTGACATTTCATTGTCTTTGGCAGTGGCAGCTGAATGTCCTGACCAGAATCCTGAACTGCAGCCTTGGACCCCTGGCCATGACCGAGACCATCAAGTACATATTGGTCAGGGCAGGAGTCTACTGCTCACCTCTTCTGCCACGGTCCACTCCATCACCATCTCACAGGGAGGTAAGATTCCCTGTCCATTCCACCACCCTGAGCCCTGCAAATGGATCTACAAGGCCAGGAGCTGAGATAGATAGAACAAGTTTTCTAAGCTTTGGGTTCATGTCAGAGCACCTGGAGATTTTAGATGACCATCAACTCAAAGCACTGAGAAATAGCTTGTCAAAGGTCTAATCTTGAGAAGAAAAAAAGAGTGTTTAAAAGAGACCTGTTACTCTCTCCTTTACATGCTTGGTATTTAAACTCAGGACATGGAGTAATGACATTGATCCAGATATATACTGTGTATATCTTGCAAGGCAGATGATGGAGAAAAGTAACTTCTGCAAGACAGTGGGCATAGAAGTGCTGAGAGTATGTGCCCTTTTGTCTGCTTAGAGGGATGGGGCTCAGGGAATCTGCTCTGGGTTCTGCTCTAACATTACTTAAGGTTCTTGTCTTCTCAGACTTTTGCATTCTCTCTCTTCAGGCAAACTTGTCATTAAAGACCACCATGAGCACATCGTGCTGCGTGCCCGGCACATTCTGATTGATTACGGTGGAGAGCTGCATGCTGGGAGTGCCCTTTGCCCTTTTGAGGGCAATTTCAGTATTGTGCTGTATGGAAGGTGGGATGACCTTGCTCAGGGGTCATGCACTGCTGTTGGGTCTGACAGGAAAGAGGGTTTCCAAAGGAGAGGGGGGTGAGAGGTCTAGACTTCTATAGAGGACAGGAACCACCATTGTGTCCCACTGGACCACAACCATGAACAAGATAGACATGGTGAAGTGGGTGAGCAGGAGTCCATGGGTCCTTTGTTCATCATGGTATAGATGGAATGGTTGAACCACAGAAGTCCCTGATAGCAGCTTTCCAGCCATTCCATGATTTGGAGAGAATCTAAAAGATATTAGTGCTATAAAGGACAAGTGTGCAATGTTTCATAGCCAGGTGTGAACGAACATCTGTTTACTCCAGAGAGGGGATCTATGACAGACCAGAGAAATAATTATACCCAACTGTAGTTTGGGGAACCTATAGGTTTATTGGGGTTACTTATAAAAGCATAGGTGACTCAAAGTAACTGCATCACCTAAAAGCCACCACTCATGAAAGCAGCATCCCTGGAGCTTCCAACCCAACAGGCAGGCAACTCTTCTGGAGAGTCCAGTCTACCTCAGCTGCTTGAATATATCCATTGGGAGGGGCCCTTCTGAGCCTTCTAACTTCCCTTAGGTTTCTGGGTCTTAGGAGCATTGCTTCACTCTCCAGGAGAGGATACTTCCATTTGGAGAAGACAAAAGCACAAGACACAGGAACGTTCCACATGGCTTTCCCTTCTGGCTGTGACCCCTCCTTAAGCTACTAAAAATTCTAAGAAGTGATAGCCAAGCATGTTTGAGTGTAGGCAGGGACACAGTAAAAGTACCTGTGATTCCACAGCCAATAAGGGCTGAACAAAGTGGTGGTGAACAGTGTCTGCTAAGCATTTCTGCCCTGTATGCCCACTTTGTTGCTCTGCTTTGGGAAGGTCAGCTTGCTAATGCTTTTCTACAGACCTAATGTCATCACCAAAAATGCAGCTGGTTCTCTGAGGCCACAGTGGGAGACAGGGAATGGTGACAGTCCCCCAGGGGCTCAGCGTCTAGCAGAGATGTGTTGGCTGACCGCCTTTCTCTTACAGAGCTGATGAAGGCATCCAGCCAGACCCTTACTATGGCCTGAAGTACATTGGAGTGGGCAGAGGAGGCACTCTTGAGTTGCATGGACAGAAAAAGCTCTCCTGGACATTTCTAAACAAGACCCTTCGTCCTGGTGGCATGCAGGAGGGAGGATATTTTTTTGAAAGGAGCTGGGGCCACCGTGGAGTCATTGTTCATGTCATTGACCCCAAATCGGGCACAGTCGTCCATTCTGATCGGTAAGGTTGACTTTCCCCTATTCATGTACTCACTTGTTAAGAATCTTCCCAGCTGGGGAGGGGGTTTTCCATGGGGACTGCCATGCAGGGTGAGTGGCATGGATGGGAGTCCTGCTCTGGAGAGGTGGCTTCTTTCCCAGGGTGTTGCCAAGAAAAGCTGAATTTAACACAAATGTGTACAAGTACACACACACACACACACACACACACACACACACACACACACCGGTAGTTAGAGACAATCAATTTTATAACATTGTTCTTGTAATCAACCAACTTAAAAGCTTGTTTAATAGGATGAGTTTCTTGACTAGAATTCTTACTATATTAAAGTAAAATGTTTTTAGAAAGAGAACAGATGAGGAAAAGGCAGAAATGCAACAGTATTCACAATGGTTAAGAGTCTATCACCACTGCAGTATGAATCAGTGGTGACAGTTTAATGGCTCTGATCCAGAGAGGGAGACATGTTATGACATAGTCACACTGTCATTTCTAGGGACTTTAGGGAGTTGTTTTGGTCTAGATCAGAGATAGAAGTCCCTGCTGCTCTAAGTGTCTCAATCTTCTCCTAGTGCCAATCCTTTCCAAGTGATGTGAGCTACAACCCCCAGAAAGAAAGGGGACATGAAAAGTCTGAGCCCCAAGCATGTGACTTATTCCACATGCCAGAACCCAAATTCTCCAGCACTGTAGTTATTTTACCCAATGAATGAATGCTATGGCCACATCAAATCCCTCCTTCTTGGCTTTCTCTGTATGGCAAGCCCAACAACAGGAACACTTGCTTGCTCTTTAAAGAAGCTTCTTTGTTTACAGACTTGGGCCTACAAGGTCTTTGGACAGCATCTCAGCTGCTGAAACAGATGTGTACTTGGGTCTCTGTATCCTTTAGACTGCCACCAAGACTATCCATGTCTTTACTCTCTCTATGCTTTTTAGGTTTGACACTTACAGAACCAAAAAAGAAAGTGAACGTCTGGTCCAGTATTTGAATGCAGTGCCTGATGGCAGGATCCTTTCTGTCGCAGTGAATGATGAAGGCTCTAGAAACCTGGATGACACAGCTCGGAAGGCAATGACCAAACTGGGCAGCAAGCACTTCCTACACCTTGGATTTAGGTACAGCTCATCACTTGTATCTCCATGAACTGAAGCATTCCATACTAACCAGGGCATGTGTCTCCACATGACTCTGAATGACAGCACAGAGGCATGCAAGCACACTGTTCATCCACACTGGATGGAGTTAGGGCTTGTGTTCAAAGGAAGCCTGGGTTTTCTTACAGGAATGGCCCACTATTATAATGCACAGGTTTCTATATGGACTTTCTTCTTCAGTCAGTCACTGCTAAGCACTGTGTACCCTAAGTAAGAAAGGGGCAGTAAGAGCCCTGATGGGCAACTAAGGTATGTTTAGCCATTCAAGGTTCATATTGTTCCTTGGAAATTGGCAGTGTTTCAGGGATTATGCAAACTATCTCCACCCAGCTAAATACCCAAGGAAAGGGAGTCTTTTTGACAGGTTCTAGTGTGTGTCCTACTTGCTTCAGATTGCAGCATCCTGCCTGATATGGGCATGTGCACACATTGACATCTTTAGGAAGCCATTTGGCACATAGAAACCACATCTTTTTCCCTTTTTTTTTTTTTTTTTTTTTTTTTGGTTTTGGTTTTTGGTTTTTTGAGACAGGGTTTCTCTGTGGCCTTAGAGGCCGTCCTGGAACTAGTTCTTGTAGACGAGGCTGGTCTCAAATTCACAGAGATCCGCCTGCCTCTACCTCCCGAACGCTGGGATTAAAGGTGTGAGCTACCACTACCTGGCTAGAAACCACATCTTTTGATCCTGTAAACTAACTCTCAGCTTGGTGAACATTAAGATGATCTGCCCATGGCTGTTAGAGATTGATTCCGTTCTTCAGCTCTGGAGATATGGACAAGTTTAAAGATGATCAGAGGCTTTTCTAGCCTGCAAAGTAATTTCACTGGCTGGACAAAGATCCGCTGGGCAAGAAAGGACACCCCGGGTCTCAGGCCACATTCTCTGGATGCAGCTTCTGGGAGGGAAACTGGGGCAGGAAGCCCAAGCATCCAAATAGGACAGTGATACCTTGGGATGGCAGAACTCATTTGTCAGCAAATGCCAAGCACACTTTCATTTCACCACATCATGAATCAAAAAGTCAGTTTATTAATTTATGATGTGAGAGAGGACTACGGAAGGCATGGCTACTGAATGCCTCAGCAGAAGAAGGTTGTGGTGGCTCATAGTCCAAGGCCTGGCTCCTGATGAGTGGCTTTGAATCTGTGCTGCACTGCCTCTGAGGTGTGACCACAGGCAATTGACTCATCCTCTTTGCTTAATTCTTGCATCTGTAAAATAGGGCATCTTGGCATCTATCTCACAAGAGTGTTGGGAGAGGTTCCATGGGATAATATGAGTAACAGAGTTGTCACTCTACCTGGCACAGTTAGTGACTGTTCTCTCCTTATAAATGAGAGTCACTGGAATGGTGGGGACCTCCACATTTCATTCTGGCCACAACAAGCAGGAATTACATAGTCACCCCTCCTTTGTATGTTTGAGTGATAAGACCTGAGCATCTGAAATCAGTAGATGTGCTGGGAATGGGACCCTTCATTTGTTTGTTTAGGGAGTGGGAGGTATTGGTGGGACTCTCTGGGCTGGGCCTGAGCAGATGGAGATGAAAGGTACCCATGGGAGAGAGAGTAAGATAGTGGACAAGGGGAATTGAGTGTAGGATCACAGCTGGGAGGAGCCCAAGACAGTGCTGTGAAGCCAGTGGCTGTAGAGAGTGAGTGTGTGGCTCTCACAAGGACTGAGGGAAGACTGAGCAGACATATGTGTGAGAGACAAGGCTGCAAGGTTGGCATTGGAAGGTCAATGGCTCTGTGCTGATGAGCTCCAAACCCAATGGAGAGCCAATGATTGATTTAAGTAAGAGGATGACATGGCTGAATCCTCAACCTCAGCTGAACACCATCAGTAGTGACTCTCCAAGACAAGAGGTTCAAGCAAAATCAAAAGCTACTCAGTACACCAAGATCTTCTGCTTTGTCATATGGAGGTATTTGCTGCACTCTCAGGATATGGGACAATCTTTGACAAAAGCCTACTTCTCAGAAGAAAGCCAGCCTGATTTCACTATATTGAATTTTATGTGATGCGGGATCTTCCTAGGGAAACAGAAGCCATAAGAATCCAAATAGTTCAGCCTGAGTATTTTTTTTATCCTAAGTTTCATAAAGTGTAGAGAATAAATGAGAAAATCTGATGAGTCTTTCGCAAATAAACCACTGTAGTGAACAGAGCTGGAGTTCTTCCCAGAATCCCTCTTCATTCCCCTTTCTCCTGTAAATGAGGGTTTCTGACCTACTTTAGGGAGAAAGATTGGAGAGTCATTTCTGCTACTTCTCAGTTCCCTTTAGTATAGAAGTTCAACAGGCCAGGGTGACGTATTTCAGCTCTTACCCTAGTCACTGCCTGTAATATGCTAGGAAGACAAAAACCACTAAGAAAGGCCGCCTGTGGGCAGTTCACACTCTCAAAGAGAAAGGGGTGTGTGACTTTTCCAAATCACAAACCCTTTTCTCCTCTCCCCATCACCAGGCCAACAACACACTTCATTCCTTTCTAAGGTCCAAGGCAGGTGGCTACGTGGCCAGTCCCAATATCCTGTGCCATTTTCCTCGAGCTCATCTCTTGGAGGCGATGGGCATGAGTGGAATTACCTCTGTTGGAACACGGTTCCAGTATTTGCTGCAGAATCTAATTGGGCTTGGCGGGTAACATGGTTAGGTTGTTGGCATGCTTGTTTAATTGTGATTCATAGCCATTCTTTGCCAGCATTGAGTCAAACTGTCTCCAGGGAGCAGATGCCCAGGCTAGCTGGCTGGTGAGGAAGCAGGCACCCTTGTGCTTGCAAAGAAAGACTCTTGTTTTACGGGGAAAGGAAGCCCATGGGTGGATGGTAAATTCTTCCAGCAGCTCAGGAGACTCTCCTATGGGACCCTGTCTTCACTCTGCCAGCCCGAGAGCAGGCTCCAACGTGTGGAAAACCTGACTTTCTGGTTTTTTGTTTGTTTGTTTGTTTGTTTTTCAGACACCCTTGGAGCTTCATCACTGTGAAAGGAAATCCCTCCTCTTCGGTTGAAGACCACATTGAATACCATGGTAATGAATGGTTGGTGAGAGGCCTGGTTCTCTCCACTGTCTCCCTGACTAGAGGCTGTGGGTTATGAGTGAATGTCTGTTCTAAGAACATAGCTGCCCATCAGCAAGGCCCCAGCTGAGAGTCTAGGCACTTTAGTCACTACATTAGGAGGCAGTGAGGAAGGTCCATGTGGAGGAAAGAAGATCTCTCCCTAGAATTTTAACAACTCCAAAGAAGTATTGCATGATAAAGAAAAGCTAAGAGCTGGGAGGAGGCCTCCAGAGGAATAGTATGGACTAGATGCCATAGAAAGGTTTTGTTGTTGTTATTGTTTTTCCAGACAATGTCTCATGTAGCCTAGAATGGCCTCAATTTCAATATATAGCAGAAGATGACTTCCAATCCTCCTGCCTCTACCTCCTGAGTGTTGAGATTACAGGTCTATACCCCCATGACTAGCTTGTGTGGTGCTGGGCATAAGTTCAGGGCTTTATGCAGGCTAGGTAAGCACTCCATCATCTGGGCTTCATCCCCAGCCCCAAAGAGGGTCTTTACCATACAGTATAGCCTCTCTGCCACATGTGGTTATCGTGAGAGCTGCCAGTTCCAATCCCAAGGCAGAGCTCAGATCATGAGAAATAATAGGTTCTCTCAACTCTCCATTTGTCAGAAAGTTGCAATTGCACTTTCAAAACTGAAACAGAAGAAAAAAATGGATGTAACCTCTTTCCAAATGACAAGAATAATCTGATTGGGGGTAAAATTCCTTAATGAAATGGTTCAAAAGAACTATGAGTAAAAAACAAAAACCCATTGTGAATTCAACTTGGTAATGCACACCTGAAATCCATGCAATTGGGAAGTGGAGGCAAGAAGATAAATTCAAGGTTATCCTTGACTGCATAATTCAAGGCTAGCCTGGGCTACCAGAGATCAATTCTCAAAACAAAACAAAATAGAACAAAACAACAAAACAAAACAAAACAAAAACATTAAAACCAAACCAAATCAAAACAAAGGTCTATGGGTGTGGGGGCTTCCTCTCTGCTGTAAGGTCAAGTTTATCATGGAGTGTCTGCTTACTCAAGAGTCTGGTCTACTCTGACAGGTCACAGAGGTTCGGCTGCTGCCAGGGTTTTCAAGCTGTTCCAGACAGAGCATGGAGAACATTTCAATGTTTCTTCAACCAGCGAATGGGTTCAAGGTGAGGTGTTTGAGACAGGCTGATAAAACCTGATAGCAGCAGCCCAGGCAGGGAACAGCAAGGATTTCTCTTATACTAGTAGGGACATATTACTAGGCATCAATGAAGAAGTTGCAACTGAAGTCATCTTTAATTAATCAAGCCACATGCAGGAATTGTCGGCAAGCTCTCACCAGTGGTTAATATTTGAATTGCTCCTCCACAGGGGCTTGTGGGCTTCACGTTTTTTTTTTTTTTTTTTTTTTTTTTTTTTTTTTTTTTTTATCACTGTGTTGACCATGGAAGCTTGCAGGAGGCAGCCATGGTAGTGATGGGTTTGAAGGGCAGGTTTTTGGATGGGTCTTTATTTCTCTATTGCTCATTGCTTTTGTAATAACAAGAAACTGATCCTGCCTTTACGGAAGGAAAGCGTCAGTAAAAGCGGTTTTCCTGCCTGACCTTGTCTCTGCTTTCCGTCTAGATGTGGAATGGACGGAGTGGTTCAACCATGATAAGGTGCCTCAGAGCAAAGGTGGGGAGAAAATTTCAGATCTCCGAGCAGCTTACCCAGGAAAAATCTGCAATCGACCCATTGACATACAGGTACCATCCTCACAACAGACAGGGAATCTGCAAGGCTTTGCTTTGAAGAAGTCTCTGTGGGCCACAGCTTTTTCTAGTCACTCGGATGGTATGACTGTCTTCCCCTCCTCTTAAGCAGATTAATTATGCTATTCCCACCTCGGAGACAGAAGCAAAGGTTCCTATCTGTCCAAAGCTAAGACTTCATCTCCTACCTTTGAGTTCCTTATCCCTAGTGTCACTCTGCTTTTCCAGCCATGGCTGAGAGAGCTCCAGCTATGGGGGCATGATTGGCCCACACAGCTCACTTCCATGTTGATAACCTGTGGGCCCTTGAGTACACTACACAGGGGACAGATAGGATTTGAAGGGTAGCCCATGCCCTCAGCCCAGAGGAAGAGCATGCCCTCAGCCCTGTCCCAACTAAGGTGGATAGAAGACTGCATTGCATCTTCACAGGGTGTCCACTCTGAGTCTATCTCCCTGGAGGAGGGGATGACCACCACACTGGGCGTACATTGAAGCAAACGATCTTCACACATACCCATCTTTGCTCCTATGGTTACCCATCACCTCCCACGTCCTCAGGACTCAGGGCTCTCGCTAAGCTCTCTTTGTGGCTGCACTACCTCCCCTGCCTGGGACTGTATCTGACACAGGCTCTGGGACACCTGGTCCACAGGACATAATCAGATCCTCATGGGACAGGGTGGGACAGACCTCTGTGGCCTCTAGAGAACTGGAGAAGGCAATGGGGAAGAAGCAAGAATGGTGTTGTCAGTGCCACCCCCCACAGTAGCTGGCACAGAGCTGATAATCAGGAAAATGCTTCTGGAAGCCAGAGATGTCTGAGTTAGCTGAGAAGGCACATACTCCACATCATTGGCAGCTTTGGGCTATCTGCAGTGAAGTACCCACTGTGCAAGGTTTTGGGTGGCATGTCTCCTCAGGATGGACTCTGGACTTATACTGCTCTCAGAGTGGGTGTCCTTTTAAACCCCATGCCCTAGTTCTGCATGCATAGTTGGGCTATAGATGTCCATCAATTTACTTGACTTCACGGCTCAGTGCAAAAATATGGGTCATAAATGTTCCCTCACAACCTGGTTCCATGGACTTACTGATGCCATACATGGGTGTCCCAATGCTGTCTACAAATTTTATTCAAAAACTTGGGGAGGCTCTCACCAGCCTGGTTGGCCTTGAATTCACCATGTAGACCAGGCTGACAAGAGATCCACCTGCCTCTGCTTCCTGAATGCAGGTATTAAAGGAAAGCGACACCCTGCCCTGTTCAAAATTATTTTAATTTACTGTTAACTGTGATCGTATATTATTATTTTATGATCTACATGCATAGAGAATAATATTTTTTCTTTAAAGATTCTTGCAATTTAGCAGTGATAGATTTTTTTTTTACTCTTCTTATCCAAAACTCAGGTCATTAAAAGAGAAAGCATGGTAATTAAGCAGTTCCCTTGAAATCATTACTGGATTTTGTCCCATGACGAATATCCAGTTCCAATGGGTACTGAGCCAAGGCCCATTATTGTGGTCAGTGTGACAAGGCTCCTGCTGAAGATGGAGCTGGCTCAGGGGGGGGTTTCTGAGATCAGCGGAGCAGGGCCTGACAGTCGACGACCTTGAACTTGGTGATGGTTCCTTTGGGCCTTAGTGGGTTCCATTAGGTATAAGTTTACGACCTGGTCTCAGCTGCAACAGAGACCACAGAAATCATGGTTGTAAGTGTGCCTTGGAAAGAGCTGGATTTTAATTGAATTTTAGCATGCATGTCTGGGAGACCTCCTTTCAAGCCAAAGACAAAGCTGGCTCCGTTAGGTTCAAATAATCTTTCCTAAAAAGTAAAAAGTCTAGTTCTTCCCCGCCCCCCATTGGTGACACTTTTCTCCCTTATCCAAGCCTGTCTCCCTGTCTCCATGGTTTCTGTGCCAAAGATGGCCCACAGTGCTTTTCTAAATTGCATATCTTTGAATGACAGTCATAGTCTGCAGAGGGACACACCCTGGCTTTGGGATGAGTCCCAGCTGGCAGGAACCACCCTCCTTTGAGCCTATTCCTAAACTGTGCCCTGCCCTCGTATCTTCTTGCTTGACATCCCCAGTCAACTTCAACCTCACTTCCAAGGATGCAGTGAGGGGTGAAGGTGGGTGGGTGGAATGGTGAACAGAACATTTGAACAAAGACCAATTAGGCTGGGCACACCGGAAGTCTTCAAAGATAAATGAATTTGGGCTTTATTTTTGATTCTGCCACTTACTGGCTTTGTGATGCTCATCTTCTTTGAGAGCCATTTTCCATATCTCTAGAACCAACCACCACTTTATAGCTTCACTATGAGGATGCAATGGATCCCCGAAAGCATTTAGCTCTTTAGCTGAGAGAGTGGATCCCAAACTTTCTTACCTGTTAAAATCACCTGGGCAGCTTTTAAAGTCCTGATGCCCAGGCCACAGCCTCAACCCACCAAAATCTCAGCCTTTAAGGTAGAACCTGGGTACAGAAACTTGAGGCTCCTGGTGAGATGGAAAAGCTCTTTTGGGCACCTGTGGGTCAAACAGGGTGAGTCCTTGGTAACTCCTTGCATGGACTCACAGTGGTATAATGATCATAAGAAGGGGCACATCAGGGTTCCAAGAGAGCCCATGTGTGGTGGATGCCTCTGGAAATGTACACACAATGACGAGCAATAAGTACTGCAGGGCACAGGCAAGGTGTTCCTCCTGCCAGATCACAAACTTAGCTGACTCTCTGAAGTCAGGCCAATCCACCTCCATTCCAACACTTAACACTGTCTTTCTTCTAACAAAACTTGAACAGACAATTGGGATTATAGTCCCAGGCTGTTGTAGATAGTTTTGCAGTGAGGACAATTTTAGTCTTGTAAATATAAATTGTGGACATTAATCAGCGCTTTCCCTCTTCACAAAAAAGTACTCTTACTCTGTAATTTCCATTCCATTCTCAGGCCACAACAATGGATGGAGTTGCCCTCAACACTGAGGTTGTCTACAAAAATGGCCAAGATTACAGGTTTGCTTGCTACACTCGGGGCCGAGCCTGCCGCAGCTACCGAGTACGATTCCTATGTGGAAAACCTGGTAAGCAAGCAGACCTTGGCTCCTTGTTGGGTTAGAAAAGCAAGAGTGCTCTGATCTCTGACCTGGCTGCCATGCACTGTGAAATGGGATGTCTGGTTAGTGTGTTGGGCATCAGAGTGTCATAATTACCCCCACTGAGTGGTCTAGGCACAAATGCAGGAGCAGCCAAACAGTCCCTGGAGTCAGAAGCAGACAGCAACACTCTGCCCTGTCATAAGCATTTCTAGAAGGGGTGGGCATGGTCCAAGAATGCAGTGTGCTGATGGACAGGGCTGACACAGACTTTTTGCCTCTTCTGGTGCTGTTATTTATTTCAAACCCAGTTCCCCAGGCAGTCTTCCTTAGAAAGGACTGGAAATGGCTGGTTTGTTCTGGAATCAGCATCTCCAGAAAGCAGTCATTAGGGATGGACCGGTGTGTGGGGGGGGGGCGCTTAGAGCTACTGTAAATAACAGTGGAGAAGGTCTATATTTGTTTTACATCTTGGGCAAAGTGGGTGTGGTGAGGCAGTGCATTGAACACCAGCTTAGAAGTCAGTGGAAAATTCCTCTGCCCAGAGCTAATGAATGGGTCTTTTTTGGTTGGTTTTTTGTTGACTTCAAAAACCTTTAAGTGCTGAGACTGTGATGGAGAGAGCCTGGTGATTTTGGGTTTTGGAAGGGCACACCTGGCATTTACCCATTTCCAGAGGGGAGGGGGGATGTGGGCAGCCACATGTTTGCTGAGGGCAAAGGGCTGTATCTCAGTCCTTCCTGTTTTGGGTTACAGTGAGGCCCAAGCTCACGGTCAGCATCGACACCAACGTAAACAGCACCATCCTGAGCCTGGCGGACAATGTGCAGTCCTGGAGACCTGGAGACACCCTGGTCGTCGCCAGCACTGATTACTCCATGTACCAGGCAGAAGAGTTCCAAGTGCTCACCTGCAAAGCTTGTTCCTCTACGCAGGTCAGGGTGGCAGGTAGGCACCTTACTTCTGCCCAGGCTGCATGAATCTGGACACTGGTAGACTTCAAGTGAAAGGAGATCTGTGTCTGTGAGCTACTCTCAGAATGGCGCATAACAGAACGCAATGAGATTCTCACTGCAAGCATTTGTCCTGTTTTGATGCATCTATACCTTGTCCAGGCAGGCAGCTGAACTGATGTCTGAAATAAATTCACTTAAGAAGAAATGGTTATTTTGGCTCATGGTTTTGGAAGCTTCAGTTCGTGGTTTGTTAGCCCTGTTGTTCAGGGCAAGAACTAGTGGTGGAGGGAGTTTCTGATCTCATGGCCTCCAGGAAACAAAGAGGAAGTTGTTGGAGTCCCAGTATTCCCTTCAAGGACATGTGTCCAGTGATCTAACTTCTTCCCACTAGCCTACCCCTAATACCATCACAGGCTCATGACAAAGCTTTATGTAACTCACGGGCCTTGGGGGAACACTATCATAGCACTAGCCTTTTTTGTTTGTTTTTGTTTTGTTTTTTTGAGACAGGGTTTCTCTGTGGTTTCTTTTGAGGCTCTCTTGTAACTAACTAGCTCTTGTAGACCAGGTTGGTCTTGAACTCACAGAGATCCACCTACTTCTGTCTTCTGAGTGCTGGGATTAAAGACATGCACCACCACCACCAGGCCATAGCACTAACCTCAAACTTCTCTAGGCTGAGGATAGCTCCAGGATGGAAGCTGGGCTTGAATTGGCTCCATATTATTCTTAGTCTTCCCCAGACACATTCTTCTCATGACAGAGGTTGAATGTTCCTATAGAGGTGAGAGGAGAATGGAGAATTTCTAAGACCTGGTTTTAGAACTGGCTCACACTGGGCATACTAGCTTATGTCTAGAATTCTAGAACTTGGGAGACCAGGGGAGGGGAGTAGAATTGTTGTGAATATGAGGCCAGTCTGGGATACATAGTGAATTCCAGGCAAACCTGAACTTCAAGGTAATACCTTATTTCAAAACAAAAGAAAACAAAATGGACTCAGAAAAATTAAACAAACTGGCACACTCTGATAACGCAGTCTGTCAGGCCACTGCAGAGCACAGCCCATGGCCAAGCTCAACATGAATGGCTAGAAAAGCCTGTTTTTCTCATTGGGATCCAATTGATAGAATGAACATTTGTTTGAAAATAATTTAGTCAACCTCAATACTTTAATTCCCCTCTTCCCACAGCTTTTGAGTTTTCTTTTTTCTTCTCCCAAATCTTAACTTACATGCCCTATACTATATACTTTGTGATATTACCAGAATCACAGATTGTTAGAGAGCAAAAGAGACTGTTTTAGTTAATGTTCTATTGCTGTGAAGTGACACCATGACCATGAAAACTTTTATAAAGGAAAGTATTTCATTGGGGGCTTGCTTACAGTTCAGAGGTTTAGTCCATTATCGTCATGGTTGGAAGCATGGCAGTGCATAGGCAGACATGGTGCTGGAAAAGTAGCTGTGAGTTCTGTATCTGGGTTGACAGACAGCAGAAAGAGAGAAAGACACTGGGCCTGGATCAAGCATTTGAAACCTCAAAGCCCACCCCCGGAGACACACTTCCTCAAACAAGGCCACACCCACTCCAACAAGGTCCCAGCTCCTATTCCTTCTCAAACAGAGCCACTCTCTAATGACCAAGCATTCATATATATGTGCCTATGGGAGCCATTCCTACTTGAACCACCACAGAGACCTCAAATAAAATATGGGTCAATTGCTCCCAGAAAATATGTATGTATATCTTTGAGTTGTAAGCAGCAGAATCCAACTTGACTATCTGAAACAAGAAAGGAATTCACATCAGAGAAACAAATTAGATACTAAAGAACTAAGCTGCAAAGGACTCAGAGCAGAACATCTTTGAGGGTCTGGGGACAGGAGACAGTGGGCAGCATCTCTAGGTATCACTGTCTTTAGGAAGCATGTTGAGTCTCTGGGACAACATGCTGCACAGCCACTGTCCAGGGAGAGGGCATCTGACTGGCTGGTGACCTGTCTGAGAGGTCAGGACCTTCATCAGCAATCCTTAGACTGCCTCCGAGTCAATAAAGGATCCTTTCTTAAAGGAGAACCAGAGTGACCTGTCAGAAGGGACGCAATACTGTATGTTCAGACTATCACATGCTATTTATTACCTGGGGAAGTTTCTCAATCCTCATGAGAAAATTGAGACCGAGAATACATATCCAGTATATTTCAAATGTCTAGTATTTTGGAAATAAAACATTGGAAACTAAAAATCAAAACAATCTTTTTTTGGCTGGTTGAGAGGAGCCTCATTTTAGTGAAGCAAGAAGCCATGATGGAGTTCCATCTCCTGAGTTTGTTCTTGGGGAAAGTGGTCCCTGTTGTGTCAGGAATCCCAAGGCAGCAATTCTAGGACTAGACTCTGCAAAGCACACATTTTAGTGAGATGCTAATTTGGGGGTATGACTAGAGAAAGAGGAGGAGGTAGCAGTGGGCAGGTCAAGTCTAGATAGAGAGAAGTTTGCAAGGTAAGAGATCCCCTGTTTAAATGAAAAGGCTTGAACCCCTGCATTGTTCAAGAAAGGCTTTGGGGCACCTTATAAGTAAGTCCAGATCAACCTGATACCCAAAAGAAAGAAATGAAGTGGAAAAAAATCTGGGTGGTAAAAGTCTAAGTCACAAAGTGGAATAAACAGGTATGCAGAAATGGTTTTCATAAGCTATAAAAGTTATCTCCAAGCTTCCTGGCAGCCAGAGCAGAGGAATTATCTGTATCCAGGAAAAGGAAAAGGACAGACTATAGGATCACCATCTCTTAGCCCTAAGTTTGAGAAGTTTGCCTCACAGTCACCATCCACAGAACACGGCACAGCATCATGAACTTGACTCCATGCAAATGTGCTCTGGGTGGGGCCATTTGCAGTTTGACTCCTAATATTAGAAGGGGGTGAGATGTTGAGCATATTCTGTGAACACATTTTGCAAAAGGCTTTTTTTTTTTTTGTCTTGTTTGGCAGAGGCAAAAAAAAAAAAAAGTACAAACTCTGGAATCAGGCAACTGGTTATTAACTGTTTCCCCATTTGTAGCAGTAAGGTCTCACTAATATGGCCCAGAATGGCCCTAACTCACAATCCTGACTCCATCTCCCAAGTGCTAAGATCAAAGTCCTGTGCCACTAAACCCAACTTGCTGCAATTGCTATTAACATAAGTTACAATAATTCTTTGTATTCTTCTTATGTGTATGTGTGTTTAGTGTGCATACGTTCACATGTGTTTGGGCACAAATGGGGGGATGTGTGTGGTGGCCCAGGGTTCATATTGGGAGTCATCTTCTATCATTCTCCTGCTTGTTCACTGAGGCAGTCTCTCAGCTGAACCTAGAGCTTGCTGACACAGCCAGTCTGACCAGGTAGCTCTTTCCAGGAATATCCACCTTCTGAGCCCTGGAATTATAGGCAAGCTGCTACACCCAACCGGCATTTACATAGGGTAGGGAACTGAAATGAGTCTCCAGTGTGGGAAGTGCTTTGACCATGGAGCCTTCTCCACAGCTCTAACTATAATTCAGTAGCTAGTCCTCAGTAGGGGAAGGATGGAAGGAGCATGGCTGATTACAAATGATCTTATGCTTCAGTTTGCCATTCCCGCCATTTGGGACCTGTGAGCACATGGCATTGTGGGGGAGAAAACAACATACATCATCATTATTAAGCAAGAGTCTGGGGCAGCTTGCAGTTATCTTCTGGAGATCTCTATGGCTCCAGGTGTGGGAGTCACATCTGTGGATGATAGTGCACCTTTCTCTCCGATGATGGGCAGGCACCCTAGGGTCTACCTTTGTGGGGACAGAAAGAAGAATGGAACATTTTATCATCTACTTACCCAGCATCTCCTGAGCACACGACATGTGCCAGACAGTCTCATCAGCCTCTTGGGTGCCATGGAGAGCAAGATGGACACCACTCTCTGTCCCCAGGAAAGCTGCATCCCAGCAGGGAGATTGACATCCATCAAAGAGTCTTAAAAACAGGACTCCAGCCACAATAATTACAAAAGAAGGATGTGGGAGGAGCTGGACATAGGGAGAAGGTGTGGTGCTTTCCCTGAGTAATTCAAGATTAAGCAGGAAGCTGGGCAGAGATGAAAAGGTAGCTATGAAAGAGAAACATTGCCAGAAAGGAAGTCATGTGGGCACACTACCTGAGCAGGGGAGAACCAGCCACCAGGAGGACAGGGAGGCTACAGGGGAGACCATGAGAGCTCCTAGGACTGCAGAAGGGAGAGAAGGCTGGACAACCAGAGGCTTTACTTGAGTGCACAAAAAGCCACTGAAGCCATGAGTCTGCTGGGTGTCCCCTAGCAAGAAAGAACTTCCCCTGTCTGCATCTATAGGACGACACTTAGGTGATTGCCAATGGGAGAGTGCATGGTAGACAGCCTCCTGGGATGTCAGGTGTCTCTTTGGCAGGTCATTTGAGCCGATGTCACTTCTTGTGGCTCCAAACAGCATGTAGCTATCCATTATGGGGAAAGCCTGACTTCTAGCCCTGGCTGGAAATAGAAGTAGGCGTTCCTCTAGGTCTGGGAAAACTAGACCTCACCTGAACCCCAAGGTAGAGCATCTTAACGTCCATAGAGGAGGTCTCACTTTGAGTAGGTCCCAAAAGGGCAGCTGTGGATGCCAAAGTAACCCTGAGATTGAAGGACTCATGAGATGCCAGGCTCACACAGCAGAGATTTGGGGGTTCATGCTGATAGCTACTGTTCCTGATAGCATGTTACTGATGCAACCAACAACTCATTAATGTGCCCAGATTGGACCAAGAGTGTCAGGGGGCTTTTTGGGGGACCAAGTTCCAAAGGATGAAAGTATGAGTGGAAACTGCTAGACTTCCTTCCTGATGCCCCTACGCCCCTTGCTTTAGCATGGAAGGATTCTGCTTCTGCCTCACCCCCAGACTTACACTGCCTGTTATGAGTGGACCATCCACTCTGCTCAGAAGCAACCTTTATGTCCCCATGGAAACAGCTCCTTCTGGT